GAAGGACTCTAAGTGGGAAAACATCTACATTTTTTTCATCACCGAAGAAAAGAACACTGACTTCAGCATCACATTTTCCGAGCCATTTAAGAGAATTGACTTAAGCCTACAGGAAGCATATGCATACTACTTAGGGACAGTAAACCATAGGGTATGTGGTATATAATTCTGTCTTTCTGTATCTCTGTCTCTGTCTCTCTGTCTGTCTGTCTGTGTCTGTCTGACTGATGGCATCTTTGCACTCATATAAGGATTTTCCATAATTGCTGGTTTACTGGAGTGCGGAGTTCGGTGCTATTGTTCACAGATTAAGGATGGCTACTCTGTATAGAAAAAAACAACAACAATCCATCCAGTGACTGCCATTGGATGTTTCAGGTGGACACAGAGGAAGCAGAATGTCCCTTGGGGTTAGTGAGAAAATTGATAAGGCGATATCATGCCCACTGTGAGTGTACCTATTTAATTGTTTTTACACATAGATGGCTACACTTGTACTAAGCCACCAATGTGCCAATTACGAGTACTGCCTGTTTCGCCTGTTCACCCTTTTCTTTAATTTTCGGAAATATTTTACGTTTTCTTATTTTACTATTACTAATATTTATAACTTTATAGTAATTATAATGTTTATAGTAAAAATAACATCATCAATATTCATAGCTATAGTAAAAAATACATTTCCCTGCCAATTCAAGGAAAGATGAAATCAGGTAAGGCAAAGCCATCTTTGCGTAGAGACATTTCACAAAAAAAAACATAAAAAATAAGCACAGTATTTTCCCATTTTTTATTCATTTTCCCCGTCGGCAATAGAATGGCAAAGCAGCAGGTATCATTGGCCTCACTGCTGAACCTGATGGTGAATCCATGGCCTGGGGCCTGCATACTGCCCTGGCTACCATGAACTAGTCTGACACCATCCCCCTGGAGCTGTGGAAGGGTGTGGTCAAAACCCTCTGGAAGGGGAGAAGAGCGCCAATGTGACTACAGCAATTACAGAGGCATTAAACTGCTCAACAAACCACGCAAGGTGCTTACGCATCTGAGATACAAAACCGATTGCTGAGACATCAGAGACATCGGGATACATTCCTTGTAATCCATGCTAGAAACTGTTATTGTGCCTTAGAATGCTAATTCTAAGGCACCTCAATGAGGCATTTAACTTCATCCATCATGAATCATTTCATTCATAACATTCTGAATGCTTCCCGACCATCCCGTTGGTTTTAGTTTTAGGCACCTGGCACTCGCTGTTATCACTCGTGCAAGGACAGTAACTCCTTCTCCACGATGATTTATAAAAGCAGAGTAAAGACGTGTGGGCAATGATGTTAACTAAATTGTGGTGTGGGACGACAAACTTATGTTGCTGCCGACGAAGGGGAACCTTCTGTCAGCATAAAAAAGAAATGTCAGTTACTAATTAGTGGTCATACGCGAGCTTTATCCTTATCCTCATGTAAGGTTAGCCGAGGATCAACTCTGTAGCCACCATCTAAGGGGTCGTGCACAAAGCATTCAACAGTGGGTGTTTCTTTTTTTTATTGGATAAGAATCACTTAACAATTCGATTTGTATTGATTCAACAGCTGCACATGTCTGATATGCCTTTATCATTTTTGAAAATCCCACAAAAGAGTGTTGCAGAAATCTTTGTCCTTCATTCTTCATTCCCATTCTGGCATTACAGTATACACACACAATATTGCTAGAATTATTATTAGCGTTTCCAATCACTTGTTGTACGCAAGAAAAACAAAAGACACATGTTATCTCTTCTCTTTCTCATATTTAACTTTATTACTATTTCAATACACATTTTAGGATTTCGTTTTTGACCTTCGCTTCACTGTATTATATCCGAGATGCGTACACTAATATATAGCATTCGTATGAGTATGAGTGAATGCTCGAATCCTAATATTCCCGTCTCTTTCAGGGTACTATCGCTGGTGACTGTGAATCGTACAGTCCGTCATGTAAAACTCATTTTAATTTTGGGGACACAAGCCATTTGATAGGTAAATCGGGCTTAAGCAGTTTCCGTATTTCAAGCCGGTCATTGGTCTACTACCTGACATGTAGATCTCTTGGGTATTTTCGTAAGTATGATTCTAACCTGCTTTACATTAATATGACCATACCTAGAAGTGAAAAAGAATCTTTATCTTACTATATACAATTGGTTGTAAATAGAAGGTGCATAATAGCATCACTTTCGCCGAAAAATTCAGTTTTGAAATTCACCAAGCTATATGAAATTTGCAGCCGTGGCGCCAGTGCTGAGACAGAACTTCAGTCCTCCAGGCGTGAAACCTACAGAGCCACAGCGGAACCTCAGCCTACCAGGCGTGAAACCTACAGAGCCACAGCGGAACCTCAGCCTACCTGGCGTGAAACCTACAGAGCCAGAACAAAGCCTTCCAGGCGTGGGACCTAATCAAGCCAGACACCAAAACCAGTGTGCCGCCCAGACCATTGGGCTCGGGGTCGTAGGGACGGCGCTACTGCTCGTATTGGCTTTCGTCTGCGTCGCCGGTTGGAGGGCAAGGCGGGCAGGTGAGGATGAGATGTGTGTGTGTGTGTGTGTGTGTGTGTGTGTGTGTGTGTGTGCACTGCGGGCCTGTGTATGGCCAAATCACAATTTAAAGTGCCATTGTTTCTTTGTTCCTTTATTCTTTATAAAGGTGATGGCATCTGTCAAGAGGAGGTTAGGTTGTGGTGAAGATTCTGGCAGTGGTGGGGGGGGGGAGGGAGGGTCGTGTCTGGCGAAAGAGGGTCTGAGGGCTTGCAGGATTCCTGTTGGTAATCCTGTATAAGAGTGTCAAGTGAGGGCTGATATCCTTGGGAAGTGACAAGCCACAGCAGGTGATGTCGCGTGGAAGTATACTCAAAATATTGACCTTCAGGAGTTTTACCGTTACCTCAGAGGTAGAAACACTGCAACAGAACAACCACACACACCACTCCCCTCCTTTGATCTTAAATACTGTAGTTCGTGGCGGTATACAAAAGGGAGCCTCTCTAAGACCAGCACACCACATACTATACTACTAAACAACTAACTTCCCCTTGTAATATCCACCATGCATAAACTATTGTTCTAAAGAGAAACTGGCTACAGCTGTACCTTGAAGGGAACTAATCTCTGTTGCAACGACAAGTGCAACGCCGTATAAGAGTTGGTCGTTACGGTTCACCCAAAGAAGGATAGATTTCCGACTACACAATACAACACTTTCTTCACAAAATATATCTCCATCTTAATAACCTCAGTAATCAAAGGTAACACCTGTCGTTCGCTTACTCCAGGAGAAACGGTACAGTACATTCGCAAGAGAACAACTTGCTGCAATTAAGTGTTTAAGCATCACGCAGAAGGTCAAAAGTTCTGCAACCTTAATTATCATAATATCTCTTGTATTCGCAGCGGTTTCAGCGATTTTTCTTGTATCTGCAGCAGTTTTTCTTGTATCAGCAGCGTTTTGTTACTAGCTCTGTATTTACATCTTTAAAGTGTATTTCTTCTTTGAAGCATATGAAAGTCACATTTCCT